GCCGTATCCGACCCAGACGGAGTGAAGAATGAACACATGATCATTCAGAAGTCGCTCCCAATACCCGAGTTCCCCGGTCTCTCGGGGACCGAGTGTCTCAATCTGAATCTCACAGCGCCCCTGGAGATTGGTGACCTAAAGCAAGTGCCAGTTCTGGTTTTCATTCACGGCGGAGGGTTCGGCACGGGATCCAACTGGTGGCCTCAGTATGATACCAAGCGCATAGTCCAACATTCAAACAAGCTTGGGAAGCCCATCATCGCCATCAACATCAAGTATAACATATCTTCCACAAAAACACCGTTCTAGCTTTCGTAACTAACATCTGATAGTTACCGCCTCGGAATTCCTGGATTTCTGACATCTGAGGAGCTTCGCAAAGAAGGATTCAAGAGCAATCAAGGTCATCATGATCAGAGGGTGGCTTTGGAGTGGGTGGGAAAATACGTGTCGGGATTCGGGGGAAATCCTCAGAGTGTGACCGTTGTAGGTGAAAGCGCTGGTGGCAGTAAGTCTCATCCGTCGGTCCCTCGGCATTTCGGTCTCGAAACCGAGACCGCATCTCTTACTTTTTTCTAGTCTCGGCGGGCCGTCTATTATACTCTGAGAAAGCTCTTGCCTCTCAACTCATTATCTTGGGAGGCTCGCCGCCGTCCCTCGCACCCCTGGAGCTCGGTGTGGCTGAGCAGGCGTACAAAGGCGTTGTAAAAGCTTTGGGAGCTGAAGATGTGAGTTCGAGTGAACGTATCAAGATCTTGTCAAGGGCGTCCCCCGAAGAGCTCTCCTCGAAGATTGGCAGAAGCCTTCCTTTCCTGCCGGTTCTCGATGAAGAAACAGTCCCGTTCGTGCCGACGTTCGAGACGGCGTCAGCTGGGAAGCTAATTCCCAAGACAACATCTTGTAAAGCTATCATGGTCGGGTACGCCCCCTTGGATGTGAGTACCATCAATATTTCGGTCACATTCTCGGCTTAATGTAACTAAACCAACCACACAGGCGAGCATATTTGGGTTTATGGGTCTTTTCCAGCGAAAGGAGAACATCGCAGCCTCGTTCACGCAAATCATCAACACAGCTCTGTCACACCATGCGGGCATTGCTGCGCAGATTCTGCAGGCATACGACATTAATGACACCACAAACGACGATGAGGCTTTCATCCGAGTTCTGCAATTCGCCTCTGATATTGGATTTCGGGCAACGGCAGAGTCATTTGCCAACAGCTTTCACGGCGACTCCTATTTGTTGGAGTTTGCCGAGCCCAATCCGTGGGAAGGGCCATTTAGGGGCTACAGCACCCATGTCCTCGACGTGGCATTCCTCTTCCAAAACTATAAGGAACATCTTGGAGAGGAGCAGCGAAAGTCCGCCGAATCATTTGTCACCGACATAGTTGACTTTGTTCATGGTCAAGCTCCATGGAAGCGGTTTCAAGATGCCGGCGGGCGGGTGGTGTACCAAGATGGGACGAGAGCTTACAAGGAGGCCGGGGCTAGCACGGCACGATATGATTTGCTGCTCGAGTTGGGTGAAAAGATTGGGCTGGACACACTACTGAAGGGTTGGGAGGCATTCCTGTTCCATCAATAGATGGTCCACGGACCAACTGGGGAGCTTCAGGCGAGGGGATGCTTGTCAAAGGCATCGGGTGGTATTTATCAATTCTCAGAAGAATCTCCCGTATTGTCGGCACGTTTACTGGGTATCTTCCTAACGGTCTCTACTCCCTGAATCTGTGATCAAAACGCCAAACACTCGTTGCTTCAAGAATTTCACGTGTGGCACACTTTCAATATGTCTGTGTGCTTTCAACGGCCTTCGGAATTCCTGATCGGTACCTTCACGCGAAGAATCACGAGATCCCTTGGTAATTGAGTGATAGTTTAACTGCACTTCAACGGCGAATCTGAAGGGGTGTGTGTGTTTATGTGTGTGTATGTGTGTTTTTGCCGCGGAAATAGTCACCTGATGCGGGGTCGACTTGCGAAGATAGAGCTCCTGACCGCGGGGAAACCATCATTACTCATCCAGTGTCCTCCACTTGACACTTGGTCTTTCGTCCGGTGTATCCTGTCCCACGGAGATGACCTAGAGCTCGGATTACAGTTAGAAATCCTGTCAGAATTAGCGTAACTCTGTTTGTTCTTTCCTATGCCATTGGAATAACGATGGCCTATACTCTCGAAAGCAAATCTCTGGGTTCAACTCTATGTGGCGTTGATTTAGGGACGATCGCACAGTTTAGAGGCATCCCATATGGCAAGATTGTTTCGCGATTTGCCAAACCCGAGCCATTAGTGGCACTGCCGCAAGACATCAACTGTACTGAGTTTGGGTACGTTCTTTCTGACATTCGGTCTGAACATTTGTCGGTGAAGGAAAGGCTGACTAGTTCTCGTGTTCACAGCCCTCGGTGTCCACAAGTCAAAGTTGATGTAGGGCATCTATTGCGTATACCTCCTGAGCACAGGCTACCCGTCGAGGCCGAAGATGAGTTTCGATGCCTCAACTTGGACGTTACGGTGCCCAAATCACAAGAACTGCTGACGGCTCAAAGATTACCTGTTTTGGTCTGGATACACGGTATGCTTGTCAAAGTCAGGGGCTGATGTTTTGACTAACACGGACATCTCAGGCGGCTCACAGGCGGTTACTTTTGGAAGCGCGGCCTCTGGCGTGTGCGGTACGAACTGCGCCCTGCTTTCCGCTATGTCCCCTTATCCGCCCCCAAAGGATCCTTCGTGAAATGTATCGTACTAGCGCTGGCATACTAGGCACTGACAGCTGCAAACTTTAGACACGAGAAGAATAGTGGAAGATTCCGTGAACTTGAGTAAACCCGTCATCGTCGTGACAGTTCAGTACAGACTCAACATCTTCGCGTTCGGAAGCGAAAGTAGCTCGAGTAACCTCGCTCTGCAAGATCAATCATTGGCTCTCAAATGGGTCACTGATCACATTCCGGATTTTGGAGGTGACCCGGTAACAAGTCACATTCCCATCTGCCAAAGACGGGAGACCACTGACAGGCTTCCGTAGAATGATGTCTCACTGGCTGGAGAAAGTGCTGGAGCGGTATACTGCCACGCCCACATAGCGGCTGGCCTTGAAGTAAGAAGAGTCATACTCTCTTCTGGCTCGCTGTACCTTTCTCCTCCTCAGCCAAGGACAAAGGCTTCTGTTTTACGCCAAACACTCGTGAATCATCTTGGTACACTGGGTGACTTTGACTTGAGCACAGCCCCTGTTGAAAAATTGGTGAAGGCCATAGAACTGGCTGGAATACATTCATGGTTCCTTCAAGTGGATCCTACTCTTGTTGGGTGGGAAACAGCAATAGGGGCTGCGGAGAGCGTGATGATAGGTGATGTTCGAGACGAGGTATGTGTTGTACCCATGGGCTTGAACTGGTTGCCCTCCTTCCAATTAACCTTCACAAATAGGCCGTTCTCTGGCGAGAGGGCATATGGAAAATGGAAGCTTCAGAGATTGCTCAGGCATTCAGCTATGCCGGCGAACACCAGGACACGCTCAAAAAACTCTACAACATTCATTCTGACAGAGCCTCCGCTTCCAAGATAGGGGCGTTGGACTTCATGAATGACTACAAATTTCTTCTCCCAGCGGAGAACATTGCTCGCCTATTTAGGGCAGCAAACAAACCCGCCTATCGATATCTCGTTGATGAGTGCAACCCCTGGCAACCCTCAAATGGAGCTCATCACGCGGTGGATTTGCTTTTTCTCTTTGGAGGATTTGATCTTTCATTTGCTCCTGGTGCACAACAGACCGGAAAGCAGATGCGCAAGTCAGTGATCGAATTCCTTCACGCCCAGGAGCCGTGGCAGTTGGGTAGCTATGCAGCGTTCGGACCCTACGGGATGTTTCAAGAACTTGATAGCGTCGGCTTCAAGCTCCGGAGACGATCGGAACAGGCGGAATTTCTGCATTCGGTTCCTTCAGAGATCTTGGATAAGGTGTTCTTTGCCCTTGCGGCCGGCCGGATCAGCTTACTAAACTGACGGCAGCCACGAAGTGCGTCACAATAGTACGCATACGCGTACGAATAGTAGTTCAGTAGTAGTCTGGTAATTTCAATATCTCCAAAGTTTGGCAAGTCTTTCCAGTATTGATTTTCCAGATTCCCGCTATCATTGGTACTGCCCAGAATCGGAGACATATGACTCGCCCGACCAGACTTGACAGCATCTTGGATCGCTCTGATGCCAAACTAGACTAAAATGTGCTTGTGGCCTGCCCTGCGATACGTGCGTTCGTGGACCATGTCCGTATGCCTGTTCGTGTCGGCCTCTCGAAATGCTACCACCTGCCTCACATGGGTCCTCTTTCCGACGGGACGACGGTTGCGGGGTTTAACTCGCTGCTTTTTGACAAAGAGACTCCGCAAACCGTTCGATTTTTGAAATACAGCCATGCCGAAAATAGTCAGGCCAACAATCAGTGGGCCACCTAGGTGCCTGATGAAGAGAAAACTAAGGCAATCTAATTAGATAGTACCCCATGTGGGGGACACACACAACATTGTTACATCGCTGAGTGATGGATGGTGGGGTCCACGGGTGTTTGTGGAGGCCACGTCCGGCGAGCGTTCATCCTGGATGTGGAGGAGTTCCGGTGCCCGCGCCGGTGATGGGCGCGGGGGAACGGGGATCATGCGGTATTCACATGAGACGCAGAGTGAGTGAGCAACGCATCATCGAATGTAACTTCCAACGCATTCATAACTGCAAAGGTTCTTTTACTTCAAAACAGACCCTGAGTGTACTCCGTGGATTTGCAGATGCACACGCCCTTACTGTATCTTACATTTGACCTGAGCCACACATTATTACACGTACGGATACACCGTACATCAAATTTACCAGATAATTATCTTCGCGTGAACCCTCCCGAGCCACGTCTTTTCGCAATATCCCCATAGCAATTGGGTGACCGAACCTTCTTTGACAGGCACACCTCCCCTCTCTGACTAGCTAGCCATGTCCCCAGGGCTGAAAAATGTAAACACGCTGGCCTGTCCGCTATCAAACTTTGACTGAGCATACCCTTTAGGTTATTATTGTCGGGGCCGGCCCTGCTGGGCAGCTGCTAGGGCTGCTTCTGGGTCGGGACGCCATTCCCGTTACGATCGTCGAGCAGACATTGGAGCTCGACGATAAGCCCAGAGCCACCCATTACGCTCCACCGGCGATGAAGGTCCTGAATCGCGCCGGCCTGGGGAGCGACCTGCGGAAATACGGGTTTCTTCCCGATGGAGTTGCATGGCGCAAGCCAGACGGGACGCGCATTGCGGGCATCAGCAACGAGATTGACGGTGATGATCCAGATCGCATGGTTGCACTGCCCTTGTGCGACCTGGCGCGGTTGATCTACGATCACTCGAAGCATCTACCATCCGTCACGTACCTGTTTCATCATCGGGTGACAGCAATCGGTCAGGACGATTCCCGTGCCTGGGTCGACGTGGAGAACGGGGACACAGGGGACAAGTCACAGCTTTTTGGTGACTTTGTTATTGGGTGCGACGGGGCTAACAGTATTGTCCGGCGATCGTTGTTTGGGAACGAATTTCCTGGCAAGACATGGGATGAGCAGATTGTGGCCACGAACGTAGGTTATACCTTCTTTCGGCCCGTTGTCGATGTGGTCCTCTCTATCGAGAAGTCCGGTTGCTCGAGTGTCAGGTCGACGAACTGATGATCTCACAGGTCTACTACGACTTTAGTCGCTTTGGGTACTCAGACTCCAACTTCATTCTAGACTCAAAGGACTGGTTCATGGCGGCCAAAATCACCAAAGATGGCCTATGGCGTGTAACGTATGGTGAAGCTACGGGCTCGACCCCCGAAGAGATTCTCGGCAGGCAGCCGGAGAGGTTTAGAAGTATACTACCTGGACACCCTAAACCGGACGAGTACAAGCTCGTCAGTATCAGCCCATACAAGGTCCATCAACGGCTAGCCAAGAGAATGATTGCCGGCCGGATTTTGCTCGCTGCAGATGCAGCGCACCTCTGCAACCCCTTGTAGGCATCTTTGCTCTTTTCGCTCGGTAATTTCCGTGGCCCGTAGCGCGCAGGTTGTGCTGACGATCGTCATGGTAGTGGGGGTCTCGGCCTCACCGGCGGCATCGTCGACGTCGAAGGCCTCTACGAGTGTTTGTCCGGGATACATCGCAATAAGGCGAGCCGGAGCATTCTGGAAGTCTACGACCAAGTGCGGCGACAGAAGTATCAAGACATTATTGACCCGATATCCAGCGAGAATTTGCGACGCATGTTCAGCGTCCACCCCGACGAGGTGCTGGCTTCCGACCCGTTCCTCAAGCTTTGCAAAGATGCTGAATCGGATCAAGAAAAGCTGAAGGAACTGAGCAAGGTGAGTTTGGATGACAGGCCACTCTGACGTTTTGATCGTTATTTCTTTTCGGTTTCGCAGTTTGGCTCACAAAAAGGTTCTCCTGGCAGGGCGCACAAGCACTGGGCTATGACTTTACGAAGCATTACACTTCTGGAGATGGTGGTGTAGGAGGGGGACTAGGCACTCGTCTTTAGCAACAAGTAAGCTGAGCTAGCAGCGAAATAGAAGACTCACCGGCCCAAATCGATTGGTTCTCGGGAGAAGCCGAACCACCATAGCAGAAAAAGACCCGGCACTGGGAGCATTGTTTGCCGCAATAGGCTAAATGCAAATATGCTCGATGTTGTCGAATCTTTGACAATGCATGAACTGTCAAACTGAACCAGCAGAATGGTAGCTTCTGCCACACCGTTGGTCAGCCCTGTGCGCCTGGCTACTAAGGATGAATTGCCGACAACTAAACTTTTGAAAAGCGTAACAGACAGACTGCATTCGGGACACCCGATGGCAAGCTCGTCCAAGCACACGAGATCTCGCAACCCACAAGGGGGTGACGGGGGGGAGGGTGTGTAGGGAAAAACTCTGACCAAAAGAAACAGCGACGAGAAAACATTGACCTGTGGGTGATCCGTTTCTTCTGCCCTGCACAGAGTCGGCTCGCAACTGTGCCCTCTCAAGGGAAACAGGGAGAGGGAGGGCAAGCGCCGTGAGCCACAATAAGCGCAGGAGCTGTCAAATCAACAAGAAGCGCAAAGAAAGTTCGCCGGATGTTCGATCTCACGGTAATTCGCTTTCGCTATCCCTGAAAGCTTCTGGTTCACTTAGCTTTGTGCAACCCAAGGAGAAAATAGCTACCCGTGCAAGCCTCTCGAATGATTACCCGGCAAGTGGGCAATTTTGGCTAGTTCTTGTCTGGCAATACCTCCGCTTACCAGGTCGCCGTGCAATGGCTGAACCTTAATAAAGACACATCACGGAGCGGTCCGATTGGGAGGGAACAGTGATAGGCCAGACAAGGACGCTGACCATCACTTCTCACTTATACGCTGCAAGTCCCAAGCGGCAAGCCAGCATACCAGCGGGTGATTATACGACAGGAATGGACGTGAAAGATAGCACATAGGGACCCGTAAGGAAGTGGAAGGGGGTGCAGGCTGGCGATAATCAAGGGTGTTCCTGTTCGACCGAGCCTGAGATTCATGGCGACCTAAAAGAGACATGTGAAACCACAGCTGCCCGAAAAAGGGCATAAGGGAAAAGGATGAAATGTTCGGGGGAATTTGGCATCTAGTGTCTGATAACAATAAGGTTTGAGGCTGCCCCCGAAGGGCGCATTTGACGGCAATTTGGGAAGCCCACCGGCAGGCTTCTCTCGGGGGTTGCTGGCGCTGGTGAAAAAAGAAAAAAAAAAGAGAAGCTGAGGCCAAGAAGCCGGTCCCCGGTCGACATTCCACGAGTAGAGACGGACGGTTGAATAGCAGCCCTAACAGCGAGAATTGTGGCTGGGCTCAGACTGACTGTTTCCAGGCAACCTTACTGGGACGGGGATGACGTCGGCTAGCCGACGCCACGTAAACTCTATTTGTATGACGCTTTTTCTTTTTTGTGTTCCAAAGGTTGAGCCCCTGTTCGTGTTATGTATGTGCTGGAGTGTGTGTGTGGCATGTCCCTGTGTGCGTCCTCTGAGTGTGAGTAGCTAGGAGGTATGAAAGTGCGTGTCGGGGGCCGCTAGTACGGAGTACACCAGTCAGTCATGTCAGTCATGTCAGGTATATCGGGTCATACAAGGGGTTAACTCGGGTTCAAGCGTCACTGTCACGACTCTGACTTGCAGTAGTGTTGAGTTGTAAAAGTGTCAAGTTGCGAAAGGTTGCTCCAGCTCGACGAAAGGGAGACTAGGCCGAGCCAGCCCGTTTCCTCGGGCATGCTTCCGTAGCAGTGCAGCGGCAGTAGCAGCAGCCAAAAACACGTGAGGAGAAAACCTTTTTGTCGAGCCGTTTGCAACTGTGGCTGTGACGGCGCCGCTAACAAATACAACAAGCGACAAAAGTGTATGATGCCGAGGCGGATCGTTCTGCCCAGTTCCACCCCCCCTTCCGCCTCGGAATTTCTGCCCACGCAGTAATTCGGTTCTGTCTGCCCATCGACGATCCTTGCTTGACCAGGTTAGGCTGGCGTTTGATGGGCTAGACTCTGGCTACGTGCTCCTCCTCTCTCTCGACTGATGCTCACTCGCAACACACCCACCGGGCCACGGTACAACACCCACACCTCTTTCTCCTCCTCAGCCATAGATACATGTATACACACCCAGGAGGAGAAGAACAGACTAAGACAGGCTCGGCTTACCTTGCTTTGGCACAACTGACCCCACCTCCAGAGCAAAGACGAGCAGGAAGGTGGACCCTGAATATCTCGCAGTGATCAGTCTCACTGCGTCCTCGTTCTCTTCTCCGCCGTTAAAACTGTGCTGGCCTCCCACACTCTTCGGTTGAAAGTTGATGCCTGGTGCCGTTACCCGCCCGCAGGCCAGCTATGATACCCAGTAATCAACCGTTTGACAACGATAGAGACAAGCTTCGAACCGTCCTTCTTTAGGCTGTCTCTTTTGACACGTTTTTTGGTTCCTTTTTATTTTTCTTGATCCTTTAACCCTCGGCAAACGGTTGTCGATTCTTTCGATTTACCGCCATCAACCCACCCGGACATGGTGTTGAAGCGTCGACTAGTTGATTTCCAGCGCGAACAAGATCCCTTCGCCGTCAAGGTGTTTCTCCCGCCGACCGATCATTACCGCCAACGCAACTGGATCATGACGTCCCCGGAGCAGCAGATGGACACCCTGCGAGAAGGTCTTAGCCGGGTGATTCTAGACCAGCTTGCGGAAACCCTGCGGGATTATTCGTCTGGAAACTTGGCGAACCCGGTGCTTCGATTTGAAGCTTTCATTCAGGACGGCGAGCCAGGAACGCAGGGGCAAACACCCCGCTCTCCCGTGGTTTCGGTAAGTTGCATCTCCATGTTTATCATCGCGGGCTGGACCGCGCGTTGGCGCCGGAATGTGTGCAAGTGTTCAGCTTTCGTGCTGCCCGTGGACTCCAGTTCTACAGCGCAGACAATCCCGGAGATACCCAATCAAGACAGATAAAGAGCGGATGACTCAGCATCAACTGATTTACTGCTGGGTCTATTTCACTTGCTCCTCCGTGTTGTGGCATGGGTGGTTGGGTTGCAGGTTGGGTACGAGAGGGTTTTCTGCTAACCACCATCACCAACTATACAGAAAATGGTAGACTTGTCTGGCATCATTTCACAGAGCGCAAATAACAGCCCGAATACGAGCCATGCGGGAAGAGAAAACACCATCGAACACCCGACACCGCCCACCATCAGCCCGCAATTGATGATGGACGATGTCGCGGCAAGCGCCAGCCGGGCTTTTGTCCGGACACAACGGACGCCATCCCAAGGACCGCCACAAATGTCACCCGAGACCGATGCAAATGCTTTTATTCAAAGAAGAGGAACGGGAGCTCTACGACCAGTCAGGGGAGCCGCTCCAGTGGAGGAAGAGCAGCCGGACAGCCAGAGGCATATGCAGGTTGCCAACAACTTTCCTAAACGCGCAAAGATTCAGACAGACGTCGTCTTCATCCCGCAACAGTCGTCCATTGACAAATTCGTCGTCAGCGTTTGGGAGCAGATCCACGGTGGTATCAGCTTAGATCCCCAGAGTCTGCTTGAACAGTGGCAGCTCACGGCAACGGCAGCAACAGCAACCATCAACAATGCTGGCAAGATTCACGTTCCCGAGCAGCTCGAGCTCGGCTTGCTCCAGGCGCCCTCGGCAGACGGCACGCTGACTGAGATCGACATGGAGGGAACCTTCAACCGCAGCAACATCTTTTGCCGAAAGGTTACGCAAGCCAGCCGCGCGTGCCGCTCGATTGAGGTCATTGTCCAAGCGCGGTGGATCGAGCACTTCGACTCGTATGTCGAGCTGCTTGCCATCACGAACCCGGGCATGTCCCCTACCAAACGCCGCAAGGCGGCGCTCATTGAGGCGTGTAACGATTTTGGATGGTCTGAGAAGGAGTTGCGGAATAAGATGGCCATTTGGCGCGGCTACAAGGAAATAAAGGACGCGGGAGGTTGGGCCGCGCTCGTCTTCGCCGGCATGGGACTTTACCGCTTCTGCAAGTACCGAGTTGGATTTAATCCGGATAGCATGCAACGACTCCGGTGCCTCCGGCCCCGAATTGAGGTCGCCGCCGATACTCTTCACCCCACGTGGCGCCAACTACTCATGATTGTCGGCGAGGGCGCACAGCGTCGGTTCTGCGGTCACCCGCATGACTGGGTTGTCCGCCAGGACGGTTCGGACCCGGTTCCGCTCCGGTCGACATATCTCGAATATGACCCTTACTTCAGCTTCGAACAGCTCGAACACTCCGTCATGGACATGAGCGCGTGGGGCACCGATGATCCGCGATGGGTGCCGCCGATGAACGCCGTGGCTTGCGTCCAGGGCATGCACACATGTCACTCGTGCGGCCAGGAGCAGTCCGAAGACCCCAAGATCAACTCGTGCTACTGCTTCCCGACGCTATTCGGGTCCGGGCGTCGGAGCCCCTGCCCGGTGCAGGTGTTCCGGACCTCGGACGGACGCAACAACGGCCTGATGGCTCTTTGTCCGTTCGAGCGCGGCGCGGCGATAGGAGAGTTTGTCGGCCTCATCACAAAAGACTTGCAAAATATGGACGTCATGGATAGCTCGACGGGTGTCCGGGCCTATCAGATCTGGCAGGGACGGCAGGGCAACTTCACGAGGTTCGTCAACCACAGCTGCAAGTCCAACGCGCAATTCCAGCAGTTTGTGTGGATGAGCACGCAGCGCATCATCCTGGTGAGCAAGGGCATTGAGGCGGGTCACGAGGTCACGGTGGACTATTCTGGGAGCTACTGGCGCGGTTTGGACAAAGAATGTCTCTGCGGAGAGTCATGCTGTCGGTATAGGAACGCGGCTCGATAGGAGGAAGACAAATGCGATGGAGTGGACTCCATACTCTGTATCCGTAGAGGAGAATTATTACTACGAAGATTAGGGCGAAGCGGGAAACGGGGTCGAGTTCAGCCACACCACTACACACGGACGAAGCTGCGGCGGA